TAGTAATCCATTATTGAAGGTGTTTGTTAATAACAGACGCCTTCAAAATTTTTTCACTAAAAATTTTAGAAATTATTAAAGGCGTCTTTTACTATAAAATACCTTTTATATACCGTCACACAAATATTAACATTGTTATTGAAGGCGCAAGAAAAATGTCTTTAATAATTTCTATCATAGTTTGTAGATAATTACTGAAGGCAGTTACAGATAACAACACATTCAATAATTTTCCAAAATTTTTTTGAATTATTAAAGGTGTCTTTTATTATAAAATGCCTTCAATAATTTGTTATAAACTTTGAAAATCCATAATTATTGAAGGTGATTTTTTACTAAAAATGCCTTTTATAATTTTTAAGAATTATAAAAGGCATTTTTTTTATAAAATATGCCTTTAATAAGTTGGTTGGATAATTTTAAAGGCTTATAATTAAATGTGTCTTTTTTTATAAAAAATGCCTTTAGTAATCTCTAATAAAATTTTCATGTGATTATTGAAGGCGTTGTTCCATAAAAATGCCTTTAATAATTAATTTTATATTCATTTCCCTACCTTGAGCATAGAAGTTTATAGAGGGCTGGTACACAGAACGATTAAAAACTGTGTTATTCAACCAAACAACCAAACCTTAAACACATTTCTAGCAGACCATTGCTTTCTTTCTCTCATTCGTCGTCACTGACCTTTAACAAATCACCACTGCGAACCTCTGTTTTAACTGGTAAGTCTTTTTTTTTGTTTATTGTATTATTTACAATATTCAATAGAGAACTTTTGTTTTTTCGATTCCTTAATATTGACATATGCATTTATATATTTTCATTAACATCACCGTCAGCATAGTTGTCAAAGATTCTATTCATATTGCAAGCATGTTGTTTTTATGTAGTACGCATTAAATATTATGGTTTGCTGAACCTTGTTGACTGATATTATATTGTCGAATGGTATTGTATGATATTGAGGGTCTGAATAATATTTCATGTTGAATGGTTTGCTGAATCTTATTGTCTGATATTATTTTACTAAATGTGTTTGAATGAAATTGAGGGCTTGAATGATGTTTTTAAATGGTTTGCTGAAGGGTGTTTATGAGCACATTGTTGAATAGTGTGCTAAATGTTGTTTCTGTATATAGTATGATATTGGTTGTATTAAATTAAGTACAATGATCAATTTAAAAGGTCATATTATGTAATTCGTATAATTATGATCAATATTGTAAGTATTATGAACTCCGAATAACATCATTCTCCTTCTAATGAACATGTAAAAAAAAAAGTGTAGGCCAAAAAAGAAAGGGAATAAGCCCAAATAAACAAATCAAAGTGACTAACACAAAAATTCATGTTGACTTCAATCAAAATGGGCAGCCTGTATCGAAAGAAACTGCCAAGATGGCTACTCATATTGGAGCCATCGTCCATCGAAGGATTTCAATTATGTACATCGATTGGTGATGAGTTTCTGATGATCTAAATGATAAGATATGGCAGTCCATTGTGGTATGTTTATTTATATGATCATTTAATTGAAATTCAATGTGTTGATACTATTTATGTTAACTTATTTAGAAACAGTTCGACGTCTTAATTGAGTGTAAAAAGATTGTGTTGCAATCTTTTGGAAAAGCTTTCAGAGACTTTAAAAGCAGATTGATAACCCAATATATTTTACCGTTGACTAGTGAAGGTGATGTTTTGGTTGTTCCACCTGTGACATATGCAAATGTCATAAGTATTGCAGATTGGATAAATTTTATTCAATATCGACTTTCAAAAGATTTTTTGGTATGCAAACTCATTACCAAATTAGTCCAAGTTTATAAGCCTTTATGTAATATAGCCTTTGATCTTCATATGTGATTGACGTAATTTCTTGATTTTGTACGAAATCAAAGAATAACATCGAGAAATTCGGGCCAAACAGTAATATCACCATCGGACAGCAAGAAAAGGATATACAAATGTGAAATATGAGCTTGTATGTATTCGCACACTTGTTTTATACTCATTAATAAATATTTAGAAACATTCATTTCATACATTCTGATTCTTTTATTACGGTAATTTAATAAGAATTAGTGAGCTCAAACATAAAAATTTCCAGATGGGATGTCTGGAAACAAAGAAATCTATGGAAGGATGGATCTTTCACAGATGAAGCAATCAAGAAAATGGTAAAAAAAATTATATGTATAGCTATTTTTTTTTTATATAATGTATGATTGGCATTATGGTTATATGCATGAGTGTATACTAGCTTGTGTAGATTTGTTCTAACAGCCCAACTTACTATTGTCTTTCAGGATGATTATGCTGCTAAAGTAAAATCTGGTGAACTGACAACCTAGTATGACGAAGATCTTTTGTCTTTAGCATTAGGTGCTAAAGAAAAGCCTAGTCGGGTTCATAGGATTGGTAAATTTGTCTTGCCATCAACGTATTTTGGTAAACAACCAAAAACCCCACGAATGAGAAATGCACAATATGAAGCAATAATTAAGCAACAATAGCAACAAATTAATGACCAAGAATAATGTCTCAATGACCAACAACAAAGACTCGTTGCTTTGGAGTCCATGTTTCTAACAATGCAGCAAGTTATGCCAGTAGCCCGGCCTGATAGCATCGTCCTCGTATGAAAAGCTTCTGTTATAAGTGAGGAAGCGATCCCATCATTCGCTACCACTTAAAAAGTATGATATTGTTTATAATTTGAATATTAATTTATTTATTATATTGATTGATTTGGTTTTAATACTTATATTTCATTAAATATTGTAGAAGGATGTTTAGACTCAAAGTCTGACCCTTGCCCAGGCTTCTATAAATGAGTTAACAAAATATTCACTGGAGCATTTATCCAACGAAAGCTTCATATCCATTGAGTTTGAGGAAAACTTATTTGATAAACAATCATTTTCTTTCATTGGTATGGATAGGGTGAACGAATTTTATGAAATGGATGAATTATCAGTTGTTGAAATCGTTGCTTATATGATGTTAGCTTATAAATACAAATATGCACATTCAATATGTAGTAAGTTAGTATTAGGGTGTAATACTAACTAGCAGTGTTGATTGTTATCATATAGCTTCTTACATAGAGAGCTGAAGAGAAGATAATTGATGAACAAATTTAGATTTAATATATTATTAATGTATAATATTTTACATTATCAATAAATTATATAATAATATTATTAAAAATTAATTTTAAATATGTATTTTAAGATAAAGTGTATTTATTTTTAATTTTAAAATTAATTTATTATAAAATATTATTATATGTTAATTAAAAATAATGATGTATTAAATATAAACTTTATATTTATTCTTATCTTTCATTATATTCATAGCTATTACATCTTATAAATACATTAATTTCTCAATAATTTCTTAAAAAAATAGCAAGACTAGTTGATAAATAAATTTTCATTTAAGATCTGATTTCTTCAGATTTTTTTGTCCAAATTTCACGTAAAACTTTTACTAATTGGCATTAATTCATAAAACAAAAATAAATAGTAAAATTTACTAACAAAAGTATAAAATATTTTATGTATCTTATACCCCGATAAAAAATTAAAAAAGTAAAACATTAAAGAGTTGGGCAGCTGTGAAGTAGCCGTCATTTCGAAATTATAGTAACTACGTCACATGTGCATCTGCATGACCTCCTTTGTATTATTAATACGCTTTGCTCTAACGTCTCCGTACATTAATGCCGTCCTGTGCAATAAAGGAAAAGTGATACCTATGACTAGGCACATACGAAAGTCTTTGAATCTCATAACTTTGATCTTATCTTGCATTCGTGGAATCATACGTGTAATAAAGGATAAGTCATGCTACATCTCTTGTCTCTGTATTATTAATGCCGTCCTGTGCGACTTGTTAAAGTGTCTCTTGTATATTTTTATACTTTTATATTTATGAAATTAATTAAACTTATCAACGCTATAGTTTGTATACTTTTAAATATGAAAGCATCAATAAAGTTGAATGAATATGGGTGGTTAAATAAATCAAGTTCTCAATGAAAATTAGAATATGCAAATAGTTAAAATAAAATATCTAATTATTATATAAATTACATGTAATTACGTATTGAAAAATATTATTGTATACTAACTCTAACGTACATATTAGATCTGAATAATGCTATTTTAATCATTAATACACGGAGGTAGAGGACCACAAAAGTTTGCTCATCTGTCCCACACCTAACTTCCTCGAAGAGGAAAAAAACGTAGATATCAAAGTCTTCTGTTGCCCGACAAGGACATCCATCGTCAGAAAAACAGAGGTTTTCGGAAAAAAAAAAAAACTCAGGTTTATTTAGTTGAAATATAATTTACGTTGGACTTAGTAAAAAGAAATAAGACAGATAGAAAAGAAAGAAAAAGCATTCAAATCTGGAATTTTTTTGGTGAAAAAATTAACTTAATTATAGTTATGTAGTCAACAATGAGATGCATTAATCAAAATTAAAATAATATTATTATAATTAAATTAAATATAATTAGTTTAATAAAAAGTAGATAGGGACAAGTGATTTTTAATTTAATAATTTAAGATTAAATTAATTAAATTATATTATTTATGTTATTTTATTTTTATTAATAAAATCAAATTTATTAATTTAAAAAAATCTAAGAGGTGAAATTTAATTCGATTATTTTTAAATCAACCAAAAATAAAATAATTTAAATCAAATTATATTTTAAACTTTAATTTCTCTTATTTAAAACAAATTAAATGACATCATAAGATAAAATATTTAAATACTAAAATATTAAATTAAAAACTTTGATAAGTTATAAATTAATAATCTTTTTTGCCATTTATCCAAAAACAAACCTGTTTCATGTAATTTTAGTTTTATATTTAAATTTTTTATATTTTAAATAAATTTTAGGTTAATTTGATGAATCCATCGTTAAAAAGGGATTTAAAGACTTTTAGCAATAGAGATAAAATAAATTCTCATACAAAATGGAAATTTTAAGGATTTAAAGACTTTTACAACAGAAATTTTACATCGAAAAAATTTGTCACTAGCTGCGAGGTAGCTGTCATTTGGAAACCATGAAACCGCTGTCTGCATAACCTGCTTTCTATTATTTATACGTTCTGCTCTTTTACATTGTCATCTTTAAATCTTCATATTGGTTAGTTTGTTTAATTTTCACACTTATTCGATACCAGAATTTACAACTTTAACTTCCTTTTGGTTCTATGCTCGTTCAGTCGTTTCGTTTGGCATCAGTTTTCTCAAAGTGTTGATCAAATTTTTTTTTTGTTTTCAGGTAAGCCTTGTATAAACTCACTTGATCTGTTCTAGTATTTGATTATTCCGTTCAAATTATTATTATTATTGGTTCTAAATATTGCTGTTGTTTTTGTTGTCTCTTTTGTCAGTAAGGCTCTGTTCTTAAGGATTTGCTTCCGTTTGTATTTTTGGTCATAAACACTGTTATTTGTAGTAAGTGTAGAAATAAATATATCTTTTAAATCTTTATATATAGAACTAACTATTAAGCAGTATTAATTTGTTTCCAACTTTCTTCTTGCATTTCTGTTTCCATTCTTCTTGCAGATCAGAATTTAGAACTTTGATTCTCAGCTTGTTCGGCATCAGTTTTTTTTTTTTACAAGTTGGGCTTGGAAGAAAATCCCAGCTGATCAATGTTTTTCCTTTGATACTTGAGGAGGAGGTACGGTTTTTAAACTCAGTTCCGTCGTTTTCATCTTTTACTATGATTAATTATATTCTGTTATGATTTTGTTGTTGTTAGTTGTTATTGTTGTCTCTTTTGCCAGTGAGTGTTGTGTTTCCAAGGTGTTGCTTCCATCCTCAGTTTTTTTATAGTTTATTCTGCTTCACTATTTTTTAAAAAAGAGAAAAAATGAAGGCTCTTAGTTCTATTGTTGGATCCATTCTCTGCTCTCTTGCTGTCAAAGCGGCCATATGGTTTTTCTAATTAAAAGCTTATTAAATATCTTCTTATTAAGAGCTTCTTCTTAAATATTTTATTACATAACTTTTTTATTTAAATACCAAAGACAAACTTTTTCTCAAAAAAAGAAAGGGTATATATACTAAAAGATTCTCTACAAACAACAAAATTTTCTTCCTATATTTAACAAAGTTTTATTTATGTTCCCATATTTATGAATGAAAACACATACAATTTTCAACAAAAAGTAATTTTTCAAGCAAGAAAAAGAAAAAGGTCTAAATACAAAAATTAATTAAACTTATCAACACTATAGTTTGTATACTTTTATATATGAAAGCCTCAAATTCAACAGTTCAATGAATAAGGGGGGTTAAATAAACCAAGTTCTCAATGAAAATTAGAACATGCAAATAGTTAACGTGAAATATCTAATCATTATAGAAACTACAGGTAATTACGTATAGAAAAATGTTACTGTGCACTAGCTCTAACGTACATATTTGATCTGAATAATGCTATTGTTGCGAAATTTTAATCATTAATACACGGAGGCAAAGGACTACAAAAGTTTGCTCCCGTGTCTCATACCCGTCTTTCCTGGGAGAAAAAAAAAACAGAGAGATCCAGGTCTTCGGTGACCGACAAGGACATTGATTGTCCGTTAAAATTGGTCAAAAAAAAAGAGGACAAAAAACAAAGACAAGAAAGAAAAAGCATTCATACCTGGAACTTTTTTTGGAAAGAACTTAGTTATAGTTTTGTAGTCAACAATGAGATGCTTTAATCATTATCAAAAAAATATTATTATAATTAAAGAAAATATAGTTAGTTTACTAAAAAGTAAATAGGGATAAGTGATTTCTAATATAATAATTCAAGATTAAATTAATCTAATTAGATTATTTTATTTTAATAATTGAATCAAATTTATTAATTTAAAAATTTTGACAGGTGAAATTTAATTCAATTATTTTTAAATCAACCAAATAATAAAATAATTTAAATCAAATTATATTTTAAACTTTAATTTCTCTTATTTAAAACAAATTAAATAATATCACAAAACAAAATATTTAAGTACTAAAATATTAAATTAAAAACTTTGATAATTTATAAATTAAAATAATCTAATTTTCTATTTATCAAAAAAAAAAGAAATGACCTGTTCCGTATAATTTTATTTTTATATTTAAATTTTTTGTATTTTGGATAAACGATCAGTTAATGTGATGAATCCATCTCTAAAAATGGATATAAGGACTTTTATCGACAGAGATTAAAATAAAAAAAATCCTAATACAAAGGGGGGATTTTAGATATTTTAAGATTTTTACGACAGGATTTTTACATCTAAAAAATTTCGTCACTAAAAAATAGTTCTCATGAAAAATTAAACAACAAAAAATTTTCAAGGATAATAGAATATACGACGATAATTCAATAAATTCAATCATAATTAGCACATATTCGAAAATCTTTTTCATTTTCATTGATAAAAAGTCTTCTTTTCATGACTTAAAAATTATCATACTTAAAAAAAATGAGTTGGCATATAACATGAACAATAATTATTTTATTTTTGAAAAATTTATATCTTGGATTTTAAAAAGATAACAAAAAAAGGATAAAAAAATAAAATTAAAATGTGATGTTGACATTTTATTAATATTATTTTTTAAAATTATCTAATAAAAAAGAAAAATAATTAAAAATATATATTTTTAATAATATCAAATGGGTCCAATGAGACTTATTCAAATGTCAAATTACCGGCTTAAGTTTTGAGAAGATTTGAATAAAAAATTAAGATCCATTAAACATGCTTGAATAAAATTTTTTGGTTCATTTAAATTTTGAATCAAGGTTTGGACAAAAAATTAAAACTCGTGTCCGGCTTGAATAATATTTTATTTTAATATAATTAAGTTGTTATAATTATATAAATATATATATGTGAATTTTTATTTTAATATTTTATTTTTAAAATATTTTATTTTATTTTAAATTTATTATTATATAAATTGGACTTAATGGGAGGGCTTAGAATATATATATATATATATATATATTCATTTAGGATTGGGCTTGAAAAAAAATTAAAGTCCAAAATATCTTTTTGAATCAGGTCTGGACAAGTATATATACTTTTAATACCAAGTATAAGCCCGATCTAACTTGGCTCAACCCAAGAACACCTCTATGCCTAATATTTTAAAATTTTAAAATATTTTAAAATATTTATTAGATAAAAAAATTATAAAAAGGAAAAATTAAAAACAAAAAAAGAATTAAATTATCTGAACATGATATATCTTTAAAATCAAGTGAGTTTAATAAAAATATCTAAAAAATAAATTATTAAATATATTAAAAAAGAAAATGAAAAAAGTTTTAGAACTAAAAAAAAAAATATTTGCACATATATAAGTATTAAGTGGTTTTAATAAAAATATAAAAAATTAATTAAATTTTTTTAAAAATAAAAAATAGATAAATTAGTATCAAATAAATCAAAAAAGTTTAAAAAAATGTATTAAATATGTAAAAAAAAAACATGTTATTGAAAAAAATTTAAAAAAAAACACAAAAAGGTCAAACAAAAAAAATAATAAAATAGTGGATCTCTAAAAATAATAGTGGATCTCAATGAAATAAAAAATTAAATTCATAATAAAATTTAAAATTTTTGAAAGGCAAATAGATAAAAAGCTCTAAGGTGGCATTTGGTTCAGGGCAATCTGTAAAGTTTCTTTCAGAATCTTACTAGTGGATATTTAATTTCAATGTTTGGTTCAAGATAATCTAATTACAGGGAAAAGTGACAGATTTTCAATAGTATCCATAGTCTCGGAATCAGAAACACCCTTTCCCTATGGTATTATAGGATTTCAGAAGGAAAATAGTGTTATTTCTAAATTTGATCTGAATAAAAAATTGAATCATAGTCGTTACCCTTTTTGAAAAGCATGTTTGGAAGAGATTGCAACTCAATTATTGATTTTTGTTGCTTTGTTTTTGTGATTGCAATTAATGACGTTTGACATGAAAAAATACTTTAAATATTCCTTTTAAAAAAACATTAAAGCATTAAAGAAAAGAATTGAACCTACGACATTCTAATTAATAGTCATATGCTTTAAATAACTAAACTACTTTAATTTTTTTATTAAATCTTATAAGTAATGAAATGAATTATTTAATGTGTTTTTGGTCAAAAACGCCTTAAATAATACCTTTTAAAAAATTAAAAGCTATTATTTAAAGTATTTTTTATTTAAAAATACCTCAAATAATCCCCTTTAAAAAGTATTAAAGCGCTCAAGTGAAAGGTCGAACCTACGATTTTATGACTAATAATCGCCTTATGCTCTAACCAATTGAGCTACTTCAGTTATTTTATAATTTATCTCTTAAATCGTATAAGTAATGAAATTGATTATTTAAGGTATTTTTAATTAAAAACACCTTAAATAAAATGTCTTTAAAAAAATTGAAAGGAATTATTTAAGGCATTTTGGGCCAAAAATGCCTTAAATAATTTTTTCATATTTTTTAAATGACATTATTTAAGGCTTGTTTGGTCTTAAAATACCTAAAATAATCTCTTGATACATTTTTAAGGATGTTATTTAAGGTATTTTTAATTCAAAAACGCCTTAAATAATCTCTTTTAAAAAATATTAAAGATTATTTAAGACATTTTTTGTTTAAGTGTTTTTGAATAAAAAACATTTTAAATAACCTACTCATACTTTTTAAATGGTATTTATTTAAAACGCTTTTGGATAAAAAATACTTTAAATAATTTATTTAAAAAAAAAATAAAAAAAATTATTTAAGGCATTTCTAAATCAAAAACGTCTTAAATAATCCTCAATATTTTTTTAGTAATGATATTTTATAAATAAAAATAGCATTCAAATTAAACATTTGTCTTCTTGCACTAATAAAGGTATTACTGGTCATTTGGGTATTTATTATTCATAAAAGCTAATAAAAATTATCATTATATATGTCAAAAAAATTATGATGATTATTTAAAAATTAATATATGTGAATTCTTTCTAACCAAACGAATGAATTTAAACATGAAATGTCTTGAAAATGAAAGAAAATCTTAGGATTCATATTTTATTGAGGATCACACTTTCTCTTAAAATTTAAAATTTTACGAATCAAAGGCCTCCTAAAAAATTATGAATACCACTTTAAAATTTTTTAATATAAAATATAAAGAAAAAAAATATACATATAGTAAAACTGAAAAAAAGTAGATACCTCAAAATAGTGGATCCATTGAAAAAATAAAATATATAAAAATTAAAAAGCAAAACGGTAAAAAAATGATCCTACTGTATAAAATATTTTATAATTAAATATAAAAAAATTAAAATTAAAAAAAAAGTCTCAGAAGAAAAAGGCTATGGCTCCACCGAATAAAAAAATTTTATAATAAAATATAAAAATAAACAAAAAAAAATCTACAGATGCAATTGAACAGTGCTATTAACAACTGTAATATTTATGTATTTGATTGATACGATTCATTGAAATTATTGTCCTAGGAGACAAGTGCTGTCAACAATTCCAGTATTTTTTATTGATATGGTTCGCTGAAATTATTATCCTTGAAGATAAGTTTATTTCATTTAATAATTTTATGCAAGCATTTGGAAGCTTTTTGAAAAGCTAACATTTTAGTCTGCATTTTGCACCTTTGTTGGTGGACGATAATGTTGGTATTCTTTAAAAAGACAAAAAAAAAAAAAAAGGAAAAGTATTCAAACTGGAAATATTTTGTTTAATAAAAGGTAATTGAACTTACTTTTGTTTATAAATGGTCTTGTGACTCAACTTTTTATTAACTCTTTTCTTTTTTGAGAAAACTTTCTATTAACTTTTAAATCAAGGAGGATGGTTATCAATTATCGATGATACTTGAGGGATTAGTACTTAATTTTAAAGTGATTAACTAGTAATGTATATCAAAATTAATCATTAAATGTTAATGAATTTAAATTAAAAATATAATAATTAAAAATTAATTATTGCGAGTATTTATCTTATTTTATATACACAACGAAATATGAAAACAAAAGAGTCTATTATAGAAATCTTCTCAATTTTTTAAGTCTCCATCTCTTTTTTACAAGAAAATGCCATGATGGTCTAGATTAAGATTGAAAATTTTGGTCAAAATTTTATTTTATTTTTTGTTTTTGACATGGTTGGTCTCTATTTTCGAGGGCTATTTGTGTGTGTGTAAATGTGGTATTTTTTTATTGCGGTGATTTGGGATTTCTTCTTAGTTTTTTTTTTTTTTTTTTACAGCAACTCTTTTTTCTTTTTTTTTGTTCTATATATTTTTTCTTTTCTATTTTTTTTGCTAGTTTTTCTTTTTTTTTTCCCCTCTGATTCATAAAAAAAAAAACTCTATTTATAAAGCTGTTTTGGGATTTAAATCCTAAATTTTTTAGGATTGAAATCCTAGAATTTTAAACTTATAATATTTTTTTTCAAAACCATTGATGAACTTTTTGTAACGAAAATTCACGTTATCAAATTAAGTGAGGGTGTCAAACGATAGACACTATGATTCAAAGATGCTTTCGGTGCATTTAATGCACCCAAAAAGTTTGGTAAAGAAAAAAAGAACAAAAAATGATAATAATAATAATAATAATTTAAGTTAATTGATATCAAACAAAATAGGTATATGCAGATGTGATGTTAACACTTTTATTAGTATTATTTTTTAAATTATCAAATAAAAAAATTACTAAAAAATATTTTTAGTAATATTAAATAGGTCTAATGAGACTTGTTCAAAGATCGAACTATTAACTTAAATTTTAAGAAAATTTAAACAAAAATTAAGGTTTATTAAATATGCTTGGACATAATTTTTTCACCCATTTAAATTTTGAACCAAAACTTGGATAAAAAATTAAAGCCTGTGCTTAACCTAACTCGAATAATAAATATAATTAAGTTGTTTTAATTATATAAATATATATGTGAATTTTTATTTTAATATTTTATTTTTAATTTATTATTATGTATATTGGACTTAAGAGAGGGCTTAAATATTTTTTTTTTTCATTTAGGTTTGGACTTGAAAAAATTTTGAAGTTCGAAATATCTTATTGGATCAGGACAAGTATATCTACTTTTAATGCCAACGATGAGCCTAATCTGACTTGGCTTAATCCATAAATACCACTAATCTAATATTTTAAAAATTTTAAAATATTTATTAAATAAAAAACAAAAAAACAAAAATTAAATTATTTGAATGTGACATCTTAAAATCAAGTGAGTTAATAAAAAAATCTAAAAAATAAATTATTAAATATATAAAAAATAGAAAATGAAAAAATTTATAATGGAAAAAAATTTGCATATTATTGATATCACGTGGATTTAATAAAAATATAAAAAGTTAATTAAATCTTAAAAAAAAGATAAACTAGTATCAAATAAATCCTTAAAAATTACAAAAATATATTAAATATTAAAAAAACTCGCCAATGAAAAAATATAAAAAAAACACAAAATCTCAAACAAAAAATATATTAAAACGGTGGATCTCACTGAAATAAAAAATTAAATACATACAAAATTTTAAAAATTTTGAAAGGCAAACAGAAAAAGAGCTGCAAAAAATTATGAACCCCACATTAAATTTTTTAATATAAAATAAAAAAATAAATAATAAAACTGAAAAAAAAAAGTAGATACCTCGAAAAAGTGGATCCATTGAAAAAATAAAACATATAAAAAATTTAAAAAATAAAATAAAAAAGGTGCGAAAAAAGTAATCCTACTTTATAAAATATTTTATAATTAAATATAAAAAGTTAAAATTAAAAAAACGGGAAAAAGGCTATGGCTCCACCGAATAAAAAATTTTTATAATAAAATATAAAATAATAAAAAAAAGATAAACAAAATCTACAGATGCAATTGAACAGTGCTATCAACAACTGCAATATTTATATATTTGACTGATATGATTCATTGAAATTATTGTTACAAGTGCTGTCAACAACAGCAATAATGCATTGAAATTATTGTCCTTGAAGACAAGTGCTGTCAACAACAGAAATAATTCATTGACATTGTTGTCCCTGAAGATAAGTGCTGTCAACAACTACAATATTTTTTATTGATATAGTTCACTGAAATTATTGTCCTTGAAGATAAAATTGTTTGCTTTAATAATTTTATGCAAGCATTTGGCAGCCTTTTGGAAAGCCAACGTTATTAATCTGCATTTTGCACCTTTTGTTTGGTGGAAGATAATGTTGGTTAAAAGAGGAAAAGCATTTTAGCCGGAAATATTTTGTTTAATAAAAGGTCATTTTTTGTTTATAAGCGGTATTGTGACTCAATTTTGTATTAACTTCTCTTTTTCGAGAAAACTTTCTATTATCTCTTAAATCAAGGAGGATGGTTCTCAATTATCAATCATACTTATGGGATTAGTACTTAATTTTAAAGTGATTAACTAGTAATGTATATGAAAATCAATCAATGGCTGAAATGTTAATGAATTTAAATTAAAATATATAGTAATTAAAAATTAATTATATGGAGTACTCACTTTTCAATCGAGGAGCCGTGATGTCCTTTATCTTATTTTATATACACAACGAAATATGATCATTTTATTAAAAGAGTATTTTATTTATAATTTTTTATTATAATTTTATAATTACTTAATTATAGCAAAACTATATAAAGATTTATTATTTATAAATATGAATTTTGGATAAAATTTTAATAAATTTTATATAATTTTTAATTATAAGTATTTAATTATATTATAATTATTATAAATAATATATTCTCTCTACTAAGCTTTGGACCAATTTCAATATTCTTTCTCGATTAGCTTTTTTTAAAATTTCATATTATCACAAAAATAAAATATTATTAACTCAATTTACACCAGTTGTAGTATAATTATTAATTTTTACGTTGTGTGAATAATTTTATATTTTAAATATTAATCTTTTATGTTGTCCTTTTTCTTAATCTTTAAGTTATTTTTAGCCATAGAATTTATATATTTACCTGAAAATTTAAGTTAAAATAATGTATTATATGTTTAAATTTATATTTAATATATTATCAATGTATAATATTTTACATAGTCAATAAATAAAATAATAATATATTATTAAAAATTAATTTTAAATATGTATTTAAGATAAAGTGTATTTATTTTTAATTTTAAAATTAATTTTTTATGAAATATCATTATAAATTAATTGAAAATGATAATACATTAACTATAAATTCTATATTTATTCTTATATTTTATTATGTTAATATAATATCATGAATGAAAACACATACAATTTTCAGCAAAAAAAAAAAATTATCAAGCAAGAAAAAGAAAAAAAGCGTTTAAATACAGAAATTAATTAAATTTATCAACACTATAGGTTGTATACTTTCATATATAAGAAAACCTCAAATTCAAAATTTCAATGAATATAGAGTTAAAAAATCAAGTTCTCAATGAAAATTAGAGTGTGCAAATAATTAACATGAAATATCTAATCATTACAGAAAATATAATTTGTTTAATAAAAGGTAAATAGAAGTGAATTAATTTTTAATTTAATTATTTAAAATTAAATTAATCAAATTATATTATATTAATTTTATTAATTAAATTAAATTTATTAATATAAAAAATTTAACTTATTGAATTTAATTTGATTAATTTTTAAAATAATTAAATAATAAAATATATTTAAATAATTTTAAAATTTAAAATTTAAAATTTTTATATTTAAAATAAATTAAATAAAATTATTCAATAAATATTTAAATACGTTAAAAATTTTAATAATTTATAAATTAAAAAAAGTCTGTTGCTTGCCATTTATCCAAAAATAGAAAAGAAACGACCTGTTTCACGTATTTTTAACTTATATTTAGATTTCTTATATTTTAAATAAATTTTCAGTTAATTTGATGAATTCATTGCTAAAAAAGGGTTTGAAGACTTTTAACGACAAAGATGAAAAAATTATAATACAAAAGGTAAATTTTAGGAATTTAAAGATTTTTGTGGCGGAATTATCACATCCAGAAAATTTCGTCACTAAAGAATCATTCTTTTATTGTAATTTAGCAACGGAAAATTTTTCATAGCCATATTCGCTGCAATAATAAAATATACGACGATAATTCAACAAATCCAATCATAATTTGACATATTTTAAAATCCGTTGCATTTTCCTCGACAAAGAATTTTTTTAGTGACTAATAAATTTAACTTATTGTATTGCACATGAAAGATAAGTAATTTAAAATTTTCATTATTAATTTACTTATTTCCTTACTAATACTAACAAAAATATAAAACCACTTCTATTCCATGCATCTTATATCTGGATGGAAAAGATAAAAAGGTGAAATAATAATGACATGTGCGGCTGTGATGTAGCTGTCAGTTGGAAACCATGAAAGCGCCGTCTGCATAACATCCTTTATATTATTAATGCGTTCTGCATTTTCCCTGCTCTTTTACATTGTCATCTTTAAATCTTCGTATTAGTTTGTGTGTTTAATTTTCACACTTGTTGGAGACCAGAATTTACAACTTTAATTTCCTTTTGGTTCTATGCTCGTTCAGTCGTTTCGTTTGGCATCAGCTTTCTCAAAGTGTTGATCAATGTTTTTTTTTTTAAAGGTAAGCTTTGTATAAACTCACTTGAACTCTTTTAATATTTATTATTGCGTTCAAACTATTATTACTGTTGGATCTAAATATTGCTGTTGTTTTTGTTGTCTCTTTTGCCAGTGAGGCTCTGTTCTTAAGGTTTGCTTCCGTTGTTATTATTTTTGGTCATAACCACTGTTATTTGTAAGACTAGTAAGTGTAGAAATAAATATATATTTTAAATCTTTATGTATGTTCCTAAGTAGTATTAATTTGTTTCCAACTTTCTTGCTTTTCTGTTTCCACGCTTCTTCCAGATTATAATTTACAACTTTTCCCACTTGATTCTCAGCTTGTTCGGCATCATTTTTTTTTCAAAAGTTTGGCTTGTAAGAAACTCCCAGCTGATTTCTTTTGATACTTGAGGAGGAGGTACGGTTTTTAAACTCACTTCCATTGTTTTCATCTTTATTGTTATTCGTTATACTCCCTTATGAATTTTTTTTTCTCTTGTTGTCACTGTTGTCTCTTTTGCCAGTGAGTGTTCTGTTGCTAAGGAGTTGCTTCATCCCCGGTTGTTTTATAGTTTGCTCTGCTTCACTAATTTTTTCCTTTTAAAAAGAGAAAAAAAAATGGAGGTTCTTATTTCTATTGTTGGCTCTCTTGCTACTAAAGCGGCCGAGTACACAGTTGATCCCATTGCACGACAAGTTAGTTACTTGTTCAAGCATGAGAGCAAGTTTCAAAACCTCAAGAATCAACTTCAAAAACTGAAAGATGCCCGAGAAATAGTGCAGCATTCGGTTGATGAGGCTAACAGGAACGCAGAACAGATTTTTCCTTGTGTTAATAGGTGGTTGACTACGGTCAATGAGAAGATCTCTGACCAGGCTGCAACACAATTGAAGGAGGATGAAGAGAAAGCCAAGAAGCGGTGTTTCGCTGAGTTATGTCCAAATTTCAAGTCTCGTTACCAGCTTAGCAAGAAAATGGAGAAGGAGGTCAACACCATTGCTCAACTCTTGAATCAAAAAGACGAATTTAATGGTAGAGTTTCAGACCGTCCTGCTCCAAAAGAAATAGCTACTAGACCTGTCAAAGACTACAAGGCCTTTGAGTCAAGAAGCGGTGTTTTAAATGGGTTGATGGAGGCATTGGAAGATGATAATTTCAACATAATTGGAGTGCACGGGATGGGTGGTGTGGGCAAGACCACACTTGTCAAAGAGGTTGCCAGACAAGCCAAGGAGAAGCAGTTGCTTGATGAAGTGGTCTTGGTTGCTGTAACACAAACTCCAAACACCGTAAATATTCAAAACGAGATTGCCGAGAAGTTAGGCTTGAAATTTGATGAGACAAGCGTGGACGTAAGAGCAACTCGACTACGTGACAGATTAAAGAACGCCAATAAGGTTCTTGTAATTTTGGATGATATTTGGGTGCCACTGAACTTGGAGGAACTTGGAATTCCTTCTAGAGACGAACACAAGGGATGCAAGATCTTGATGACGTCCAGGAACCTCGATGTCTTAGAAAGGATGGACTCTCTGAAAAATCTTCCGATTGATGTATTGAAAGAAGATGAACCGTGGAAACTGTTTGAGAACATGGCTGGTGATATTGTTGAAAGATCTGACTTGAAATCTACGGCAATTGAGGTCTCCCAAAAATGTGCCGGATTGCCAATCGCTATTGCAACGGTTGCGAAGGCTTTGAAGCACAAGGAGAACTTGTTTGAGTGGCAGAATGCTTTGGAGCAACTAAAAAGACCCACCGAAGTAAACATCGGAGGGATAACAAGTGATGTTTATTCGGCTATAAAGTTGAGTTACAACTTTTTGGAAAATGAGGAAGTCAAGCCGACTTTCTTACTATGCAGTATAATGGGTCATAATGCTGCCATCGAGGACTTGTTGAGATATTGCAGGGGCTTGGGTTTATTCCGTGGCCTTAACACAATAGAAAAAGTACGAAATAAAGTATTAACACTGGTTAGTGAGCTCAAATACTCTTCTTTGTTACTTGCTAGTTTTACCCCTGAGTACTTTGATATGCATGATGTTGTTTGTGATGTTGCAATATCAATTGCTTCAAGGGACCATCAGTGGCTTACTTTAAGAGAGGAAGATGTATTCGAAGAGTGGTCAGATAACGAAACAGTGAGAAATTTCAATGCCATTATCTTACGGTATGCTAAGGTTAGTGAGCTTCCTGATGAGTTAGAATGTCCAAATCTTACCTTTTTCTCGCTGGGTGGTCAGGATTCTGTTTTGAAATTTCCTACTGAGGATTCTTCTTTGAAAATTCCTAACAATTTTTTCAAGCAAATGCAGAGACTTAAAGTCTTAAATTTTGCTGAAATGCATTTTTCGTCCTTGCCTTCCTCAGTTGGTTCCTTAAAAACTCTTTGTACATTGTGTTTCTTAGGTTGTGTTTTAGAAGATATAGCCATCATTGGGGAGTTAAAAAATTTAGAAATCCTTGACCTCCGTAGATCTACTTTTGCAATGCTGCCGGAGAAAATAGGACAACTGACCAAGCTAAAATTGCTAGATTTGAGTGGTTGTTACAGTCTTGAAGTAATATCCCCAAATGTCTTAGCAGGTTTATCTAGATTAGAAGAACTATACCTATATGATAGCTTTGATAGATGGGATGTTAAAGGACACGACAATTCAAGAAGCAATGCTAGCCTTGTTGAGTTGCAGCATTTGTCTCATCTGACCACTCTGGAAGTACATATTCCTAATGAGCAAGCTTTGCCAAAAGATAACTTGTTTTTTGAAAAGTTGAAAAGATACAAGATTTCCATTGGGGATAAATGGACGTGGTACGAATACTATAAGATGGAAACGTCAAGAATGTTGAAGCTCAAGATGAATGAAAGTATTCATTTGTATGAAGGGGTTAAAAAGTTGTTGAGCGAAACTGAAAATCTATGGCTAGATGATGTGAAAAATGTTATGGACGTGCTTTATGACCCAAATACTGAAGGTTTACCACATTTAAAGCATCTTTGTGTTCGGAATGTTTCAGCCATGAAGTTAATAGCTTGTAAAGAATTTCCTCTTTTGGAGTCATTGTCTCTATGCAATTTGGTCAATTTAGAGGCAATATGTTACGGTCAACTGAAAGCTGGATCTTTTGGACAACTAAGAGTCATAAAAGTTGAGAGGTGCAACGTGTTGAAGAATTTGTTCTCATTCTCCACAGCCAGAGAGCTCCGCCAACTTCAAGAAATTGAGGTATGTGAGTGCGAGAATCTGACCGAGTTAATTGCAGAAAAGAAAGAGGAAGAGATTGGTGCTAATGAAGTAATTGACATTTTAGAATTCAATCAATTACTTTGCCTAAGATTACATTAAAATAATATTAAAATTAAGTTTGTTCTTTTTCTGCGTTACGTTTTTAAATTTCATAGTTTGTTTTGGATGACTGATAATTTTTATCCATTTTTGCAAATAGCACTTTTTACTTTTTTTCTCACGCATTTATTTTAATATATTAATTTTTAAAATTTTAAATTCCATTCTCTTACCTTCATATTGTCTTATGTTTTTACAATAAATACTATTAGGCTTTCACATTTATGTTAACACTTGGAAAATATCAATTTAAATTTTACTTTGCAAACTTACTTATTTATATTAAACTAATACTTTATTTATGCTTATTTGTACCTTTCATTAGGTTTATTATTTTTATTACTTTATTTTTAAAGAGACTTATTGAACTTCAGTGCAAATATTTAAAAATTTCAGTGTAGGTTTCCTCTTGCAAGATTACAATCGTTGCATGAAAGTCGTTTGAAACCAATAGGATTACAATAATCCAAACACGTAGAAATAGATAGGCAGTGCCGATTATTTTTTCCTGCTTAAATCATACGGTATATATAAATTGCTAATTACATTATTATTAATTTTTTTATTTTTTAATAATAATTAAGAAATTATTGATATTATTATATTAGGCATATATGCATAATTATTATTATATTACTTATTTTTATTATTATTCTCATATTTTTATATATATTTTTAAAGAAAGTAGAGTTGTATTAAAATAGTGGATAGTAATCGCATTTCTTAATTTGTGTGAATTTCATATGATTTTTTGAAATCAGTCACCACTATTACATTTTTTATGAATTCATTTTAATTTTTGAATAATAATAATTAAGGGAACTATTAATAATATATCAAACATATATGTATGATTATCATTTGCAGGTTGTGTTCCCTGCCATAAAGGAGTTGGAATTAAGATCATTGAGTAGTAGTGAAAAACTATGGGATGATCAGTTTCCATCTGCTGTAATGACTTTTCGTTTTCAAAATTTATCAAGCTTGGAAGTGACGAGCTGTCATAAATTGAAGTATGCATTTCCTTCCTCAATAGTTAAAAGCTTTGTGCAGCTGAAAATACTTTTTGTAAGAGAGTGTGAGGATATGGAAGAGGTAATAGCAGTCAGTGCAGAAGAAGAAACGAATAACATAATGGTCTTTCCTAAACTTAACTCCTTACAGCTCGGCGATCTTCCCAATCTCAAAAGATTTTCCTGTGGAATTAATCCAATTGAATTTTCCATTCTAAGGGAACTAGAGATAAGGAATTGTCCTCTTCCTAGCACATTCTATTGTGATTCTAGTACAAGTGTTGGAAAGAACAGCAGCAGCATCTCAATGGATCACAACCTTCAAGTTGATGTATCACATTGTCTATTCAATGATAAGGTAATTTTTTATTTTTTATTTTTTGAATATCCTTCTGCATATAGTTCTCGATTAATTCCTCTATTTATAATTCTAATATTGAAATTAATTTTTCGCTTAATTTCTAAGATTCAGTTGATTACCCATATATCTTTTAAATTCAACTCAAAATTACTCATATATATATATATATATATTCAAAAGTAAATTAATTTAAGTACTTATCCTAATTTTAGTTGTTAGACACTTAGACTTTTGAATCAGGTATAGCAGTTCTTTTATCAGACACTGACAAAACATGGGCCATGCTCTTATTTTACCAATCCTAATTTCTAAAGGATCCTTTTTATTGGAATTTAAAAAAGGTTTTAGTTTTTTTTTTTTTGCCAAATTTTATTTGTAGTTGATAAATTGTGAAATTTTCATAAGAAGTTGATAGTTTTAAAATGTAATTATTTAATTAAATGTGTGTGTATAAATATATATAATAATAATATAAGAAAATATTACAAATTTAAACAATGTTTTGACATATAAATATTTATTGTATGTATATAAATGAGGTTAACAAATAAACTTATAAAAGAAATTTTGATACGAAATGTAAACTCGATGCAAGACTAGTGAAGTAACAATGGCTAGAATATCTCTACTTATTTTTTTCACTATGTTTTGTTATTTTCTTAATGTATTTTATAATTCTTCATTAATTAATTAATTCTCCCTCTAGTTTTTAGCTCAAAACATTATAAAATTTATTGTCTTCCAATTAATGGGGACATTCCAACATTTTAAAATTAGAACTTTACAATTAAAAGTCTTAATTATTTGAATATTGAAGAAATATGAAATTTATGAGATAAAGGAAAAGTCTTTCTTTGAAAAAAAAAATCTTAAATGTAGTGTACATTTACATGTATGAAAAATATTTAAAAATTTTTTGTTTCTCAACTTCTCTTTTACTAATATTTGTTGACAGGGGTTTAAATATAAAATTTGAAGTACAAATAATTTAATTTTTGTAATATTAATTTATAAATTATTCAATACAATTAATTTTTGATACAAAGATTGCGGTTATGAGATATAAAAAAATTATAAGTGTTAAAATTTAAATTTTAAATATAAAAAATATTATTTTTAAAAAATAATTACATAAATCATTTAAAATAAAATTTGAAGTTTAATACAATTAAATTTAAATAATGCTATAAAAACCCAAAAGAGAGTTAGACGATACTTTATGAAATAGGCATGAATAGTAAATTTTCCTTTTAAAAAAAAGATAAGTGATTACCCTTTGCAATCGTTATGATCATTCTCTCTTTTTTCTTTATTTTTTATAGTTCTAACAACCAATAATAGGTTGCTTTACTAGAAAGAAATATCAATCTTAACATAAAAATAAAGAAAATTATATTGAGAATTAAAATATTCATTATTAAAAAAGCATAATTGAATTATAGAACATTACAATATTTTTGGGCAATCTAACTATTAAACTATCCATTAAGACATTTTTGGCCATTAAGAACTAGCGGCGGTAACGCTGACCACGGAGGAGTGGAAAAAAAGAAAAAAAAAAATATAGATTGTTTTCAAATTTGAAACAAAAAATTTTCAAAATCCCTTTATCTTGACATTACAAAAATTATTAAAAATTTCTTTACCTAATTAAATAAAAAAAAAAACTAAGCATAACTCAAACTTATTACCAAAAAAATCAAATCAGAAATAAAAAAAAAAAACCATCACCAAACCTAAGCCGCCTTTAACACTGTAAGAAACGCCAGAATAAAAAACCAACTCAACAAAAAATAAAAGCAAAAAATTGCAGGAAACAAAAAAAAAAAAGATTTAATTAAGGTTTCAGTTTAAGCCATTTTGAAAGGGTTTGGGCGTTCAAAAGGATAGAAAGAAGAGGAAGAGAATGAAGACAGTTCGACAGGCTAAAATGGTGGCAATGATAACTTAGAGTTCCATTTTTAGGGTTTCGTTATGAAGTTTTTTGAGGGGATTTTGAAGGAGGATGGTAGAAGAAGGATGGAGAAAGTGATCTAAGATGGTTTCAGAGTTTAAAAAAGACAGTATGAGGGATTTCTGTAGAAAAAAACCGAGCTTTAGGATTGTAGATTTATGTTTTTTTGGGTATTTTGGAAAAAATAACTACATAATTGGAAACAGAGAGCTAACAGGAGTGGATAGATTTTTTTTTTTTTTGGGAAAATTGACGTTAGAAATGGTATGCAATGGCGTAGCAGAGGAATGGGCATCGAAACCTAGGTTTTGTGGCTATCTATTTTCTGACGATAGGAAAGAGGTGGCAAAAACTAGAGAGAGAATGGGAAGGAAGCGAATGAAGAAGTCAAACTATTGTTAAAATAAAAAGGTACATACTTTCGGAGATAATTAGTTGATAATAATATTTTAAGTAAAAGATGTTATATATGGCCCCATACGTGATTTTCTCGGTGATGGCTTGGTATAATCACAAATTATCAAAGTAAATGGTAATTTTATGGACAATTACTTAATCATGTCATTGAAATAAAAGTAATAATTTTAATCAAGTTTTCAATTTAAAAAAATATAATTGATAATTTAATTATGATTTGTAAGGTAACAAGTGAAGTTGATATAATTTTAATTTTTAAACGTATAATTTTAATGTACTAACAATTTTGTTTTAATAAAATTTTTAATCTAGAAGTATGCAATTTGACGATTGTGAGTTAACTTGCTAGGTTGACCAAATTTGAAAATTTGAAAATTTAAAATTTTTTCTCCTTTATAAATAATTATAGAATTGGGGACTATGCTAAAAAATCATTTATTAACTATATGTAATTTGTTACTAATAATTATACTCAAAATTTTTGTCAATTCCTTTTATAGCTATTTTTATGTAAGATAGCTTTAAGCCTTTTAACTTTTACAACTTTTTTGATAGTTTTTATATGTTTTTTTTTTATAATCTTTGTTTGCACAATCAATTAATTTCAAGTAACATACAGTATTAGTTTACTCAATCTTTGGACCTTATTTTTATCATGCACATTGATCTAAAAATAGTAACCTATGTATACACGTAACTGTCATATAATTTTAGTAGCATTGTAGATTCTTTTTAGTTATATACGTTAGCTCAAGTAACGTTTAAGAATATTTTAGAGTAAATTTTATTAGGGTTTTTACATTTTGAGCATAATTCAATGTAAATTTATTAGTTTGAAAAATAAACAACTTATCTCAAAACTTTCAATTTCTAGAACAAATAAGTTTTTCTTTTAGTCGTCCTTTAGTTATTTCATCAAAAACTTTATTTAAAGATTATTTTACTCCTGAAAAGTTAATACCTTCAAATACTCACATGAGTTAATATTTTGAATAATAAATTATTTTTATTTTTTCTCAATATATCAAAACTATTATTAATCAAAAAAGATTTTTTAGAGGCAACATATTAAAACAAAACTTACATTTATAAGTATGTTAATATACAAATATATAAATCTAAATCAAAACATTTAGATTTGAGAGATAATTTTGTAATTACATAAATTCTATTAAAAGAGTTATTAAATATGAGATGTGTTGTCCATTTTTTAAATAAATAGACTTGTGTTGACTTATTTTAATAATTAATGACTTTAATATTAATAAGGAAATAAAAATTAGTTAGTATTTTTAATTTAATAATAATGATTAATTAAGGACAAGACATTTACATGTGGGAAGAAATTGTAAAAATTTCACAATTTCTTAACATTTCCTTTCCCTTGATTGGATTATGTTTTCCAATGTTATATTTAGTTACTAATGTAACATTCAAATGAATTATGTATTTATATATAGGTGGCACTTCCTATGCTACAGAGGTTGTCTATTTCTTTCATGGAAAACTTGGAAAGGCTATGGCCTAACCAACTTGCTGAACAATCCTTTCCCAAACTAAGTCACTTTTATTTGGAAAGTTGTGATAAGCTAGTGAATGTTTTTCCGTCGAGTATGTTGACAAGACTTGAAGGGCTTGAGGAACTAATCATAAAGAATTGTGAATTAGTGGAAGAAATATTTGAACCCCAACAAGCAGATGGTTGTACTGCAATTGCTACATTTGAATTTTCACGGCTGACGTCCTTGGAACTCACAACATTGCCAAGACTGAAGAGTTTCTCTCATAAAATGTATGCTCCAAATTGTCCATCATTGAAAGAGATGGAGGTGCGTGAATGTCAAAAAGTGGAGATATTGTTTGGTTTTCGAGAAACAGATGGAGCAAAGAGTGAACATGAATTAGTCCCAATTCAACAGTCCCTAATTTCGGTGAATAAGGTATGTTTTTAATTATCAAATTATGATAAAGTTTTGTTTCTAATTACTTCATGAATTCTTTTTCTTTCTTTTCAAAGATGATAGATTAATTTTGTTTTACTAAAAAGGAACAAAACTTTGAATTATAACAAAAAGCTAATTAACCTATTAAAATTATAATAAAAGAAAAAAGTTATATATATCATCTATATGTATAATATTATAAAAAAAGTTAAAATAAAACATTATTTTTTTTTAATTCTGTACAATAAATATTATTTTCAAAAGATAAGGACTTAAATATAATATAATACAATTTTTCAAAACATAAAAATTGTAATATTATTTTCAAAAGATAAGGACTTAAATTGTAAGTTTATGAACAATTAGTTAATCATGTCATTGAAATAAAAGTAATAATCTTAATCAAGTTTTCAATCTAAAAGAATGTAATTGATAATTTAATTATGATTTATAAGGTAAGAAGCAAAGTTAATATAATTTTAATTTTTAAATGTGTAATTTTAATGTACTAACAATTTTGTTTTAACAAAGGTTTTAATCTAGAACCATGCAATTTGAAGATTTAATTATGAGTTAACTTGCTAGGTTGACCTAATTTTAAAAACTTGACAATAAAAAAAAATTCTTTTATAAAATAAATTATGTAATTTTATAATTATGATTATGGAATTAAGGATATGCCAATAAATCATTTATTAACTATCTCTAATTTTTACTAACAATTTTTACTCAAATTTTTGTCAATTCTTCCTATTTTTATAGGTCTTTTTATATAAGATAGCTTTAAAGCCTTTTAACTTTTATAGTGTTTTTGATAATTTTTATGTATATTTTTTATAATCTTTGTTTGCACAATCAATTAATCTCAAGTAACATACATTATTATTTTATCCAATCCTTAGAGCTTATTTTTATCATGCACATTGATCTAAAAAACAGTAATCTATGTATACATGTAAGTGTCATCTAATTTTAGTAGCATTGAACATCCCATTTAGTTATATATGTTAGCTCAAGTAACATTTAAGAATATATTAGGGTTAATTTTATTAGGACCTTTTCGTTTTGAGCATAATTTAACGTAAGTTTATTGGCTTAAAATATATAACGTATCTAAAACTTTTCAATTTTTAAGGACAAATAAGTTTTTCTTTTAGTCATCCCTTAATTATTTTGTCAAAAACTTTATTTAAAGATTATTTTACTCTTGAAAATTTAATATCCTTAAAACACTCACATGAAGCAATATTTTATAAAAATAAATTATTTTTATATTTTTCTCAAAATATATCAAAACTATTATGAATCAAAAAAGATTTTTTAGATGCAACATATTAAAACAAAACTTACGTTTATAAGTATGTTAATATACAAATATATAAATCTAAATCAAAACATTTAGATTTGAGAGATAATTTTGTAATTACATAAATTTTATTAAAAGAGTTATTAAATATGAGATGTGTTGTCCATTTTTTAAATAAATAGACTTGTGTTGAATTATTTTAATAATTAATGACTTTAATATTAATAAGGAAATAAAAATTAGTTAGTATTTTTAATTTAATAATAATGATTAATTAAGGACAAGACATTTACATGTGGGAAGAAATTGTAAAAATTTCACAATTTCTTAACATTTCCTTTCCCTTGATTGGATTATGTTTTCCAATGTTATATTTAGTTACTAATGTAACATTCAAATGAATTATGTATTTATATATAGGTGGGACTTCCTATGCTACAGAGCTTGTCTATTTCTTCTATGAAAAACTTGGAAAGGCTATGGCCTAACAAACTTGCTGAACGATCTTTTTCCGAACTAAGTTACTTTGAATTGACTGATTGTGTTAAGCTAGTAAATGTTTTTCCTTCGAGTATGTTGACAAGACTTGAAAGGCTTGAGGAACTAATCATAAAGAATTGTGAATTAGTGGAAGAAATATTTGAACCCCAACAAGCAGATGGTAGTACTGCAACTGCTCCATTTGAATTTCCACGGCTGACGTCCTTGGAACTTACAAGATTGCCAAGACTGAAGAGTTTTTCTCATAAAATGTATGCTCCAAATTGTCCATCATTGAAAGAGATGGAGGTGCGTGAATGTCACAAAGTGGAGATATTGTTTGGTTTTCGAGAAACAGATGGAGCAAAGAGTGAACATGAATTAGTCCCAATTCAACAGTCCCTAATTTCGGTGAATAAGGTATGTTTTTAATTATCAAATTATGATAAAGTTTTGTTTCTAATTACTTCATGAAATCTTTTTCTTTCTTTTCAAAATGATAGATTAATTTTTTTACTAAAAAGGAACAACTTTGAATATAACAAAAGCTAATTAACCTATTAAAATTATAATAATTAAAGAAAGTTATATATATCATCTATATGTATAATATTATAAAAAAAGTTAAATAAAACATTATTTTTTTAAATTTCTGTACATAATATTATTTCAAAGATAAGGATTAAATATAATAAATACAATTTTTCAAAACATAAAATTTAATATTATTTTCAAAAGATAAGACTTTAAATTGTAAGTTCATGAACAATTAGTTAATCATGTCATTGAAATAAAAGTAATAATCTTAATTCAAGCTTTCAATCTAAAGAATGTAATTGATAATTTAATTATGATTATAAGGTAAGAAGCAAAGTTAATATAATTTTAATTTTTAAATGTGTAATTTTAATGTACTAACAATTTTGTTTTAACAAAGGTTTTAATCTAGAACCATGCAATTTGAAGATTTAATTATGAGTTAACTTGCTAGGTTGACCTAATTTAAAAACTTGACAATTAAAAAAAAATTTCTTTTATAAATAAATTATGTAATTTTTATAATTATAATTATGGAATTAAGGACTATGCCAATAAATCATTTATTAACTATCTCTAATTTTTTACTAACAATTTTACTCAAAATTTTTGTCAATTCTTCCTGATTTTTATAGGTCTTTTTATATAAGATAGCTTTAAAGCCTTTTAACTTTTATAGTGTTTTTGATAATTTTTATGTATATTTTTTATAATCTTTGTTTGCACAATCAATTAATCTCAAGTAACATACATTATTATTTTATCCAATCCTTAGAGCTTATTTTTATCATGCACATTGATCTAAAAAACAATAATCTATGTATACATGTAAGTGTCATCTAATTTTAGTAGCATTGAACATCCCATTTAGTTATATATGTTAGCTCAAGTAACATTTAAGAATATATTAGGGTTAATTTTATTAGGACCTTTTCAATTTAACGTAAGTTTATTAGCTTAAAATATATAACGTATCTAAAACTTTTCAATTTTTAAGGACAAATAAGTTTTTCTTTTAGTCATCCCTTAATTATTTCGTCAAAAACTTTATTTAAAGATTATTTTACTCTTGAAAATTTAATATCCTTAAACACTCACATGAAGCAATATTTTATAAAAATAAATTATTTTTATATTTTTCTCAAAATATATCAAAACTATTATGAATCAAAAAAGATTTTTTAGATGCAACATATTAAAACAAAACTTACGTTTATAAGTATGTTAATATACAAATATATAAATCTAAATAAAAACATTTAGATTTGAGAGATAATTTTGTAATTACATAAATTTTATTAAAAGAGTTATTAAAAATGAGATGTGTTGTCCATTTTTTAAATAAATAGACTTGTGTTGAATTATTTTAATAATTAATGACTTTAATATTAATAAGGAAATAAAAATTAGTTAGTATTTTTAATTTAATAATAATGATTAATTAAGGACAAGACATTTACATGTGGGAAGAAATTGTAAAAATTTCACAATTTCTTAACATTTCCTTTCCCTTGATTGGATTATGTTTTCCAATGTTATATTTAGTTACTAATGTAACATTCAAATGAATTATGTATTTATATATAGGTGGCACTTCCTATGCTAAAGAGCTTGTCTATTTCTTCCATGAAAAACTTGGAAAGGCTATGGCCTAACCAACTTGCTGAACAATCCTTTCCTAAACTAAGTTACTTTGATTTGAGAAGTTGTGATAAGCTAGTGAATGTTTTTCCTTCGAGTATGTTGACAAGACTTGAAAGGCTTGAGGAACTAATCATAAGGGATTGTGAATTAGTGGAAGAAATATTTGAACCCCAACAAGCAGATGGTAGTACTGCAACTGCTCCATTTGAATTTTCACGGCTGACGTCCTTGAAACTTACAAGATTGCCAAGACTGAAGAGTTTCTCTCATAAAATGTATGCTCTAAATTGTCCATCATTGAAAGAGATGGAGGTGCGTGAATGTCACAAAGTGGAGATATTGTTTGGTTTTCGAGAAACAGATGGAGCAAAGAGTGAACATGAATTAGTCCCAATTCAACAGTCCCTAATTTCGGTGAATAAGGTATGTTTTTAATTATCAAATTATGATAAAGTTTTGTTCATGAATTCTTTTTCTTTCTTTTCAAAGATGATAGATTAATTTTGTTTTACTAAAAAGGAACATCTTTTTAATCTCTTAAATATTTATTTACACCTAGATAGCATTTAGGGTCGATGAATTAACTTTCTTAACATAAATTATGTAACAGAACTTTGAATTATAACAAAAAGCTAATTAACCTATTAAAATTATGATAAAGAAAAAAAGATATATATGTATATTTTCTATATATATAATATTATAAAAAAAGTTAAAATAAAGCATTTTTTTTAATTCGGTACAATACATATTATTTGCAAAAGATAAGGACTTAAGTATAATATAATACAATTTTTCAAAATATAAATTTTCACTTGAACAGTAAAAACTCTAATTTTATAAAAATTTATGTACATCAAAAGTTAGCATATAATAATATATAATAGTGATAATAATAATTTACTGTACCGCATAATAATTAAAAAAATTTATTTTAAATAAAAGTAAAAAATAAACTAATCCCGGTACAATCTCATTATTCAAGTACACTTAAATAAAAGTACCAAAAAAAATTTTCTCAAATAAGAAGGATGAAAATATATTTTGAGTTCAGATTAACTTATATATTTTTTTATTTTTATACAAAAATTAAATTTATAATTAATTTTATTTAAATAATATTTTAATTTTAATTATTTTAATTAAAAATATAAAATAAAACTTACATTGATATAAATGAATCTCTCCTATTATATTTTATGTATTAATTAATTTTTCTGTTGATATTCTACCGGCTTGCAATTGTAGTTGATTTTGAACAATGCAAACCATCTTCTGTCTCTTTAACACATTGTGAATTGTGCAGTTTACGTTCCCAGCTCTACAACAACTTACTTTGGGATGGAATGATGGGATGAAGGAGATATGGCATTGCTCTGCCCAACAACAACAACTACTTGCATCCCACTACTTCTCCAAACTAAAAGTTGTCACACTTTGTGGCTTTCCTGAACAATTAGCCATATTCCCATCTTACTTGCTCCAGTTATTATCCTTTCCCAATCTTGAAACGCTTGAAATAAGGGAAGCTTACTTTAAAGAGATATTCCCAAGTGATGGAGTTGGTGAGGAAAACCCTGCATCTGCATGGGTGCTACTCTCCCGGTTAACTGCATTAAGGCTTGATAATCTTCATGAATTGATGCATCTATGGAAGGAAAAGGAAGGATTCCAAAATCTAAGGATTTTAAATGTGGAACGGTGTCCCAAATTAAAAAATAATTTAGTTCCATCCACAGTTTCTTTCAAAAATCTGGTGACTCTTGAAGTTGCAAGATGTGATGGAATCATAAAATTAGTTGCATATTCCACAGCCAAAGGCCTAGTGCAGCTCAAAGAAATGAAGATACGGTCATGCGAGAATATAGAAGAAATAACACAAGGTAGTGGGGATGATGAAGATGAAGCAAAGGATGAAATCAGTTTCCCCCAACTCAACCTTTTGGTAGTTATTGGGCTACCAAAGCTAGAAAGCTTCTGCTCATCAGGGAATTATACCTTTGGATTCCCATCCTTGGTAACTGTAATTCTGCAAAATTGCCCAAAGATGAAGATGTTCTCTCAAGGAGACTTAAACACACCATTGTTGCACAAAGTGCAGCTACAACAATGGGGAAAAAAAGAACGTTGGGAAGGCAACCTTAATAGCACCGTACAACAACTGTTCAAAGAAAGGGTATGCTTTCCCAAATTTCCTTAGTAGTTAGTATTTTTCAAATTTTCGGCCATCATCTTTGCAGTTGGATTTTAACTTTTGTTTACTGACCATTCCTTTCTCCAATCAAAACCAAAGAGTTGGAATGAGAAGAACGATTTTTTAGGGCTAAAGTTAAAATATCATCTCTTAATTGGGTATTTAAAATTTAGTGGTTACTCAATGTATATGGAAGAGCAAGAGCACAGTGAAGAGATAATTGTGTTTTCATATGAAGGAGGATGCTGGTATTATTTAGAATTTATAGATTTGTTAATTGATTTGTCACAGAATTGTTGGTGGCGGTGATCCTCACAACAATATAAATTAAAATTAACTCTTCTTTTCACCTTTTCACTAATATTGCTGCTTCTGATAATAGAATGCTATGGCGAGAGAAGATGAAGAATATGAAGATGAGATTCTTGAAGAGCATCAAGGCAATCCTTCAACTTCCAACACCCAAGTAAGTCAATATCCTATGAATCTACCTTTCATCTGATAATAGAATGCTATGGCGAGAGAAGATGAAGAATATGAAGATGAGATTCTTGAAGAGCATCAAGGCAATCCTTCAACTTCCAACACCCAAGTAAGCCAATATCCTAGGAATCTACCTTTCATATATATTACAGAAAAAACGTGTTACACTTTTTTACACTTTTTTTCAATATATTTAAGGGACGATATTAAGCCTTTTTTCTCTTTTTTCCTTCTCTCTCTCATTGCTTGGATTTATTGAAATCAATGACTATAGGGAGAGTGTCAAAATTCTAATATTAATTGTTGTTGTTGCGGAATTCTATGAATACCATAGAGGAAGTGCAGAATTACATAGAAGATCAAGGCAATCCTTCAAATTCTAACACCCAATGACCCAAGTAAGCCAAATTTCATTCTATGAATCTTCAGACACCATTCATAAATATATACTTTTTGTTTCTTTTAACTCAAATGGTCCACCTTTTCTTCATTACTTGAGTAGGTGTATGGTGCCGCCTAACTAGTTCATGATATATTGCAGAAGACATTGTTTTAAAATTTATCTTCATTTGAAATCAGATGGCTTTGATTTCATTTATTATGATATTATTCTTCAAAGTGTAACAAAAGTAAATTTTGAATATTTCTCCTTTTCAGCTTTACTATTATCCAGTCAGTGTAGTAAAAAATTCTAAAGAGGATCACCTAATCCTTCAACCGCCATGAAACGAAGTGAAAATTCTTTATATGCATCTTGAGACAGTCTAGCTTTTGTTCATCTAATGCAACTGGTTTTTATGTCCTTTGAAGGTGCTTTCTTCATCACAAATTCAGAAGTACAAATTCTTATTCCTTAAAACATTGTATGTTCCATTTGATCATCCAGTAAATGGTCACAACTTCTTTCTTTAGGCTTTTATGTTTAGCTAATTATAGCTTGCCGTACATTAATTTGATCAACCTTTGAAATGATAGCATATGTACTAGGTACTTCTGTTTTTTAAATGATTTGGGTATTGTGAAGTTAAGGAGGATAACATTCTGAAGTCAGGGAACAAGGAAAATTTTCTTGAAGTATCAAAATGACAAGATTTTTGAAGTTGAGGATTACATACTTATTTTGAACTAGAGGATGAGGAAACTTTTGAAATGATGAATTTCAAGGATTGCAAAGCTGAGGATATAAAGAATTTTCCAAAGAAGATCAACGAAACCCTTGTTTAATTCTTCATTTTCTAATGATGTAGTAAGTCAAAATTTTACTTATCTTTGGACAACATGGCTCTTACACCATTTTGACTCAAATGCTTTAGACTTTGAGCTTTCCTTCACTAGAGGTAGTATTGCGATAAGGTGATTTTTTTTATTTTTTTTATTTTTTTTTTGGTCTTAAGCTAACAAATAGTGATTGCTTTATTTAAACATCTTTTGAAGTAAAGGCACTTTGCAAGTAAAATGTTTCAGATAGTTGTTGTCTTTGTCACACTTAAACAAACCTGGGAAGCTACAACATATTTCATGTTGAAACTTGAAAGAAAGCCTAATTCAGATTTATTCATTTCGACGATAGGAAGCCCTTTTGTAGACCTGAATTTGAGACTTGTTTGTTTACAGGTGATTTTGCAACATAGACCCAATACCAAATTCTGGAGGATGGCTGTCACATGGTCTGCACTGTGCCTACAACAGCTCATGGAGGGGCGGTTTATCCATCCTGTTTAGAACATGTTCCATTTTACTCACAACCTTGTGCTGAATTCCGTTCTGCCTCAGGTTATTTCTGGCGGCCCTACTATTTTGGTGGCACTATTCAGAAGTATGATTAATTTGATATTTTCATAGTGAACAAGGTTAGTCATGTTGGAGTAAATAATTTAGTTTTGGCCTGCGATAAAATAAAGTTTTATATATGATTCACTTTATTTTTTCCTGTATAAAATGTGGGATTGAAATATTTTTTATCATCAATGTAGCGGAATACTGGTAGGAGGAAATTAGGTAGCGCAAATGCCCCTCACAGTTTTCTCATACGGTGAGGGCTTAAGGCCAATCAATCCCAAGGATATTGAGTGAAAGAATGGCAAGAATCCACTCTCCATGGAAGGTGTCCTAATATTTCCCCCATGTCAAGTTAAGAAGCTGGTCCTTGTCGAACTTCTGCAAGGCTTACCGATTTCATTCTGTTGATTGAAAATACATACAAATTGAACACTTGTGGCAAGGATCTTGGTCATTAGAAATACACTATTGATCAAAGAGTTTCAAAAGCTGATAGTTTATAAGTAGTACAAACTTTAAGAACGAAAATTTTATCTTATTCGGTTGAACTATCCAAATAAATATATTTCGGGACTATTCAATTAAATATATTTTCGAAAGTTTTTTCAGTTCGCATGAGTATTTATGTAATTTTATACAATCAAGTAATTATTTGGATATTAGATATATTAAATTTTATCCACTGACAATTTCGTTTGGTAACATACAAATGCTTAATCAAGAGATCTTCCTTGAAATTGGAGTGGATTAAGCATCAAGGTTCCGTTTTGTTTTCTTCTTTCAGATTTGACAAACTCTATCTGAATTGGTTGTATACCCAAACACCCTAAGATGACAACACTTCAACTTGTAATCCTATTTTGGGTATATTTATAGAGCTTAGTATCCTGCTAAACTAGTGTTTTATTAAATCAGGGAATCAAAAACTCCATAAAAACCAATATTGACATTGGTTTAAGGTTTTAAACCCTACCCAATTGACAAAATTAATTGAAGGAAAAAAGAAAAAACTATACGGATCAATCCCCTTCTTATTATTATTATTTTTTAATAAAGAAAGGATTAAAGATGTTGGCTGAAGAACCATTCAAGAGAAAAAGAGTAGACTCAAACCCAAGACCCACAAGCATATATGATATATACTTCTGTCTACTAAAGCTGTTGCAGATCTTAATTTGAACCTTGCCAGCATATCAAAACACGACGTGGCTAAAAAAACATGTCAGCGAAGAGCTGAAAAGATAAGAATTGATCTGCAAAATACTCTATTATGCTAATTATTTATGATAAACTGTTTCACAGAGATGCGAAGTTCAACCACTTGCAGGCAAATGACAGGAAAAACTGTCATTAATTTAAAAAACAAATGACATGTCTTATGTTAGGGGCATGAAAGGACAGATAATCAAACTCTCAGCAATAAGACAATGACGCACCACTAAAAGAATACAGGGATGAAACTGATGCAGAAGCAGCTTCACGCTTAAAATCTTGAAGTAGATACATCTGGTTGTAATCTGCAAAAGCATCAGAAGCATATGCGGAATACAATCTATCCACTTTGTTGCTTTCTTTCCTCCTCAAATGACGAGTCTCAATCAGGTGCCTCTGCTCTTGGACGTGGCAGATAAGAGTCAACCAATGAAGCACCATGATATCGACTATAATATGGATTCGTAGTATAGGAGTCCAAAGTAGAAGCAGCAGCTACAGATGTATTTGCAGACGCTGCAGAAACTGTTGATTGCATTTCTCGTGTAGCACCCAAATCGTAAGTCTGATACTCTCTCTCAGTCAAGTAAAGAGGATCAGAGTGAATTATATGTCTCTGCATAGCCATGGATTCCCTCTCTACGATGTCTTGTTGTCGTAGAAGCTTCTCTTTGCAATCTCCACGGTAAGATGCTAATGCTGGAGTGATAAGAAGCTAAAGAGTCAAGTTTCTTCTCTCTCCCTGAAGACCATAAGCCATGTATTCCTTCTTACTATGGTATAAATCACAATGACTGTCCTCCCTCCGACTATATGCCAACTCTCCATATGCAATTTGCTGATCCTTTTAATGAGATGAAACGGAGTAATTTCTAGCACTGATATTGACATAAGGATCTCTAGCAAACGCTTCTGTGTGTGAAGGGGGCCTTGCTTCCCTTGGTCTATCATGAACTTCCCTGTTGTCAGAGCGTTCAATGATTCCAGCCGCTGCCCTTGACAGGGAGTAAGCAGGCAGTGCAATTGAATGAACTCCAACTGGTCGAAAAAGTTCAGTGAGCTTCCGAACCTGAAAGGGAAATTTCAGATGAAATTAATGCTAAAATATGAAAGGAAACTATGAACACCAAACCGCAATGTATGAAAACTAATCCTCACTTGTCTAGCGGCAAGTTCAGTTTTGAATTTGTGCTTTTCATTATAATTTTCCTTCATTGCCTTCTTGAAAATGCTCTCTGCAGAAAACAATCAGCATGGACACTGAACCACCCCCGAAATGGAAGTCATTGGTACACAAAATCTTTAAAGGAAGGAAGACACAGAGTTGTAATTAAAGGGAGAAGGCTATAAGAAAATGGCACCTGAGCGGGGAAAGCACCACCAAAAGCCTTTGGCTCAAGTTTCATGCCACCAGAAGAGGATGCCTTATAAATCCCATACGTGAGCTTGAGATCATAATCATGGAGAAAATGCTTAAGCCCTCGTCTGATACCCAACACAATATTGGAAACAATCTGGCTGGCTTGGTCTTTGAATTGCACATAAATATCAGACCATCTATCTTTTCCTTCTTCTTAGTTTCTTGTTTCACTCCCTTATCGCACTTTTCTATATTCTTGCTATTCTTCTCTGACCTACTGTGTTTTTCCTTCTGCTCATTCCATTTTCTCTTTTTCTTACCGTCCCGCTTTTCTTCATTCTTTTAGTTTTTATTAAAAAAGCTGGGCTCCTTTTCCCTTCTTCTCTTCTTGGGACTGTCATTTGACTTACAGCTATTTTCCTGGACATCTGATGCATATGTATTTTCTTCATTCTTTTGTATCTGCTAGCTCTTCTCTAGGCACTCTTTACTGGTTGAAGCATCCTCTTGCTGGTTTTCTTTCCTTGAATTTAGCTTGTTAGCATTATCTTCAGTAGCTTTATTGCCCTCTAATACACTCTTGTTTTTCTTCTTTGGCTTTCTCCTCCGGACCTCAGAAGTGCCAGTGGCTTTCCTTGTCTTCAAGAAATTCTTGGCCATTGACTTTGCAATATCAGATTTAGCCTTAAATAAAATTGGGCTTTTTGCCAAGTCTTCTGCAGCATTGTCAGCTTCATTTTTGTTTTTATTCTTGTTCCATAGTCTACCAACACACCCAATTCCGTTCCTGGTCAAATTAGCAATCAAGTATTTAAGATTCTAAACCAGAACATGAATGTGAGAGGATCAGTTTGGGAACCTTTAAAGCCAGAAAGCACATTGAGTAAACCTAAAGGGAAAAAGACCAGGTGGAATAAAGCAATTTTGATTTTTTAAAATAGAGTAAATTCTTCTCAATCACAAATGTAAATTTAATGGTTTAGCATCATTATTGAAGTAAATACACTTATGGAAACTAAATCATTTGTGCAAGAAACTTCGCGATCTTTCTTGCCGGTGGAACCTAATTTATAAAATTGGGCCCAAAGCAGACACAAAAACATAGAATGTCCCCAAACACCCAAAGTAGAGTCCCATATTAACCATAGAGTCCATATCAAATCAAAACAATATTGGTTGCTTACACCCTCTTCTTAGTCATGCATTTCTACCAATCAAAATTAAGAATCATATAAGGACAATTCCTAATTGTCAATAACAAAGAAAAGCAATATAAATTTGTAAAGCCACATTGGACTTGGAACAGGATGAAGAAAATATCACCAGAAAGAGAGTTTTCCCTTCTTTTCCCTTGCATCGAACTTAGAGGAAAACTAGCTGGAGAAAATAGAAGTTTCTCTGCTTTGTCTCTCACCTCACATCACACTATATAGGGACAGAAAAGAAAATGAAAAGTAACAACAGCATAAAGTAAAACGACATCTCATTTAACTCTTTAATTTTCCACCACTAACGACAAATCTATTAAAAATGATTAATTTCATTCCAAATAGCTCATGATTCTTTCATTCTAAATGTCTTCACCAATAACCCAAAGAGTCAAAGCATATCATTAATGTATTTCATCAGCATACATCTAATTAGATCCCAATAATTGTCTAGGAACTGATAAAATTTCAAAACATTTTAGATAATGGGGTCTCGATATGTCTGATAAAATACAAATGCACCAAAAATAAATTCAAGTTCCATCTAAACTAGTAAAGATCTTTAAAAAAAGGTCAAACAGAATAAAAACAGACCACGCCAATATCAGATAAACAGTCACGCCAACTAAAACATGCAAAAATAAATTCAAATCTATTGGATTTTAGCTCTAATCATGCAACAATTTTCACCAATTATAGCTATAAATTAAATTTCTTAGCTTTTGCAAACCCCCAAAAAATTTAATACACATCAAATTTCAACTTATGATCAGTAAACTCGCCTCCCCCAAAACAAAAAAACCCACATCATCTATAAAAGCTCTAAAATTTAAAATCCAATTAAACTCATGAAAAAGCACTAGCATCATGAATCAAAATGAACCATTCCAAAATAATAAAAATAGACAACCAGGAACAAGAAATTTTCAAAATTTCGTTACCTTACCTTTCTCTTTCTGTGCAACCAAACAGAAAATGACAAAAAAAAAGTTGCATTCCGAAAAGCACTGCTATAAAATCAGATCGTATAGACATTAGGGTTTTGAATTTGGAAAAGTGAATCTTCAGAAACAGAGAAAATGATAGATTTTCATTGACAGAGATTTTTCTTTTTGCTCTGTTTTTCTTTTTTTTTTTTTCAAAGAGGTGAAGAAGGAAAAAGAAATTTCTTAAAATAAAATATAAACATATGGCCAACCTGTGTTCAGATTTCAAAGTAACGGGTTCGAAGAAAAAGAGAAAAAGCTAGCGAATTCTTATCATTATTTTTTATTTTACCAGACTACCCTTCCTTTGAAATTAAATTTACCACAATTACTTTTTTTTTTTGGTGAGTTTTGGGTTGTAATAGTAAGCAGCAAGGATTGTGGTTTTGCACTGTCTAACCCAAACCAGGCCAGCGGTTTTTTACTATTTGTTTTTACCAAGTCATTTTAATTGAACCGGTTGCTTAAAATATAGATATGTTATTGGGTAAATCTCCTTTCAATACAATTTTTTTTTTTTAAATCACAATTTGAGAAAAAAAAATAAAAGAAATAATTGTATGTAATGAGATTAAATTTAAAAAATAAAAAATGTTAAAATTTAAATCATAAATTAATTAAATATTATTTTGTAAAAATAATTGTATGATCAATCTAGTTAACAGTCAAATTCAATGTTATTAAATTTCGTGATATAAAATAAAATGATAATAATAAAAAAAAATAGAGAATATACTTAGAATTGTTGATATAAGATTAAAATAATATGATAATAAACAGAAAAAAAAAAAAACATAGAAGTACAACAATCACATTATTTTCATACCCATAATATAGCAGTGATTCAATAATATTCAGAAGTAAAAACAACATAAAACAACATCCAAAAGTTTAAAAAAAGAGTAATACTATCAAAAATGAATTCAACTTAATTAGTCCAGATAAATTTTAGTATCAATTCCATTACCAATGAGGGACTAAACTGTTCTGATTTTTCCTTTAAATTTGTCCATCTCTCCGAAAGTATAATAAGCAGTATATACATTGGCTTCTCTTGCTCTCTCAGCTAATATCTGCCCAATTGCCAAGCAAGCAGGAATGTTTGATCTGGATCTGAGTACTACTTCAATATCTTTCGAGTTTGTGCCAGCAACCGTAACCTGCTTAATGAATTAGCAAAGCAAAAACAAAGCGCCTTGAGATGAAGACATCAGGTGTAAATGGCTCCATGTATGCTACAGTCCGGTGTTTACATGACGAATGTTCATGCTGTTTCTTTTACTTTTTCTCCTGATAAGTGTATGGCCTGTTATTATCATCATCAAGAAAATCCTCTACCCCAAAATAACCTCTTAGTCAACAATGAACCTGTACAAAGGAATATGTTGTAACGTAGTCACCGTCACAAACATTTCGAATCCCTTTAGTCTGAGTCTGTTAGTCATTGTGATTTTTGTAAAGTTTGGAAGTAACTCTGACCTCTACAAGCTAACGAAGCAATATTTTAGCATTGATGGAATAACTTGAATTGGATATATGATGGGGTTTAGAATCATTATAGAAACAATGTTATATGCATATGCAGCAAGGACTTGATAATTTTATATTCAGTAATAAAATTTGAAAGAAAAGAATGAAGTACGATTTTAACGAAAAAATAACATCATAAACTAGATTTATATGATTTTTCAATTAGCATATCAAATAAATGGTGATGCATGAACAGCTTATATGCATTTCTCTCATCATTTCTTTTTCCTTCCTGATCAAGTTCAGACCCTTCCAAGCAAGGAACTTAAAAACTCTTAGCTAAATAAATTTCAATTAAAATTCGCCTGTTCTATTCTTTTATGTATCATACACATAAATGACTTGCCAAAAACATGTTGCAAATAAGATTTTTCACTATTCCAGCAAAATCAGGGAATGAATAAGTGGTGATAAATTTTGAGACATCATCAGCCAATAAAAGTAGATATATTCCATTAAAACCGGTGGATCTAAATGCTGTGTTGTAAAGGTGAGAACTTTTGCTGTGACTGATAGGATTTCCAATAACACCATGTGCTTTGGTATCAGGTCCAGTATGCCTCATATTGTATAAATCCAACAATTCCTTCACGGTTGGCTGCCCAGGGCTGATAAAACTGCCACCTCAAGTGAGCCAAACTCCAAAAGTGAGAAATCCCCCAAATTTTGCAGCAAGGATCATTGACATCAAACCCCTCTCGCCCATAACAAGTCCTATCATTGGGACCTACAGATTCAGCTGACATGTCATTCTCAATGTAGGAAAGACTGTAAGAACACAAACTACTAGGACAAACAATGAAAAGAGATACACGCAAACTAAGAAACAGTTTTGGTGTTTCCCTAAAATAGAAATAAAACAGGAAGCATTATCAATGAAATTGCAAATGGGAGCTCATACATTTATCTTGCATTGTCCAAGACTCGAAGGTTATTGCTATATGTCAGTATTTCTGGTGGCACACAGTAAAATCTAATAAAAGTGAAAGAAAACTTAAAAATTTGTAAAGAACAAAGTCAAAAAGTATAAATAGTAAATTACTTACTTGGGAGTTGAAATATTTGAGCATTATCTATGATTTCTAAGGCAGTTGTTGTGATCTTCACTATGTTAGCTCCAGTAGCCTGTATTCTCACAACAAAATCACCAATTCCTCAGCAGATAGAGTTCATTCATAGTTGTGTGAAGAAACTATAGTCTTGACATTTTCAGGCCTCTCCCCTGGAAGCGAATTGAAGAAGTCATGAGCAACCTTCAAGAGGCAAAATGGAATTTTATTAGCATGTTCCCGACAGAGCAAATTGAATTTAAGAATTCAAGAAATGACTATGACAACATCGCCATAGAGGATAGCTTTTGGGTGACCAATCTTCAGTTCAATATCAATGTAATTTGCTCCCAATTCCATGGCTAGATGTAATGCTTCTTGCCACTTGCTTTCATTTCATCACCATCATATTGACCACCTTCCCATCTTGGTTTATAAGTGCATTATCCATAAAAAAGGTTGTTAAATATGGGAAGATATTAAATGTGGCAATCACACACTTTGTTAGCTTATGAAGAGTTGGGTGCTTTTACATAATTAACTCACTAAACTTTTTGAATCTAACTAATGTTTCAGAGAAAGCAACTTGCTTATAAGCATAAAAATGTAGAAAATCAGGTTTTGAGCTGATTTTAAACTCTGCTACTCAAATAAATTTGATTTTGAACTTTAATTTTCATGTAATTTGGCATAAAATATGATAAAACTAACTCACTAAGACCGCTCATTCCTTTCGATTACCTTTTTGGTTCAACCAAGTTAGCTCTTCATTAATAACAAAAAGAAACGAAAAAAACAGGCCTCACAAACTTTAGTATTATTTTTTTTTTCTCAAATTAGTTCATGCTTCAGTGTTTCCTCTGCAACGGAAAGAACATTACTCTAAGCTCAATTTACCTTTCAACCAGATCATATATAAAGCAAAATTACGTCTAATATCATGGATAACGGATGCAATCATTTTTATTTCCTCCAAAGAATAAATCAATACCTGAAGGTGACAAGAGTTGGCGATGGAACTTGTTTGATCAAGATATCAAGATCTTGTCTAGGAACAAAGTTCTTCAAGAAATCCACCCGAACCTCAACAAGATCACCACCAAGTTCCATTGCTTTTCGCATTTGAAGCAGCATCTGATCAACTGATTCTACCATTATTGGCACGCAGATTGATGTCGAACCCCATTGAGCTCCATCACCAATTAGAAAATCTGTGATTGGCAACTAAAGGAATACCAAAAAGAAGTCAACAAAACAGAAAAAGTAAAAAATCAGGTTGGTTTTGAGCTTGATTTTAAACTCTGCTACTCAAATAAAATTTTCCTTTGAACTTTAATTTTCATATATTTTGGCATAAGATATGATAGAACTAACTCATTAAGGCCGCTTATTTAGTACAATTACCCTTTTGGTTCAACCAATTTGAGCACTTCATTAATAACAAAAAGAAACGAAAAAAAAAAGACCTCTTGTATTTTTGGAGTTTGGTGAAGACCGATTGCATTATTTTTTTGTTTATTTTTGGGTAGGCGTCAAACTTTGTTTTTTGGCCAACAATTTTTGTATAAAACCATGCATTTAAATTCGCTCAAAAGAGCAGCTTGGCTGTTGCTTCCATGGGAACTTCAAGCCTTCCATGACCATTTTCCTACAATCGTTGAATATTAACTGTTAAGCATTCAACTTAAAATTAATTAACTGTAAGTAAAAAGATTTAACTTGAATATAGGATTATAAGAAATTAAATACTCATTAAACGTGATATAATACCACACTAACATTAACCTATAGTGTTCAGTGCTCAAATTGATTTCTTATGAACTGTAAATGAAAATCTCTCCATGAAAAAACATAATCAACTAGAAAAAAATATTTAATATCTTATATATACATACACCAGCAGGGGGATGGGATAGGCTACAGGAACCTGTTTTCACCTCTTTCTCTGATGAGGACAATACATAAATGTCCCAACAGAAGGCTACAAATCCTCAAGTTTGGTGTTTTTGAGGTATTGGTGAAGATTTATTTATACAATCAAATACAACTAGGCATGTTCTGACCATATGATGCATTATTTTAAAAATTTTGTCCAAACTGGTTGGTTCATACAGTTCAGTCTGATATTCGAATCTTAACACTTACAACCTCTTTTTTTATTCTTAAGCTGCAACTTCCTTGAGAAAAACAAAAAGAAATTTGTCCTGACGAGAAATGATGATATAACCTTTCAAAACCCTTTCATGTATGTTTCTCCATGACTTGCCTAAACAATGCTTCTGGTGCTGAAATTAGAGTAGGCAAACAAAAAGATGAAAGAAAAAGAATTATTATAAAATCAGAACAAGCAAATTATTTTGCTTTCAGTATTAGGGAAGCAGTTTTACTTGTCTTACCAGGCAAACCAGTGAAGTTTTTGTATTGTTCAAAGCCTTGGCGGATCAACATTTCTGTACCATCAAAGATAACAGCCCCACAATCTAAGGAAAAGCCTTCATTTGCATTGGTGCTACTCTCTCGGTTAACTGAATTAAGGCTTTATCATCTTTATGAGTTGATGCATTTATGGAAGGAAAAGGAAGGATTTCAAAATCTAAGGATTTT